GACCTCCCTGTTGAGATCCGGACCCTTACTAACCTCCCGGCCTTCTGTAAAGCTTCTGTAAACCTCCCGGCCTTCTGTAAAGCTAAGTTCTGGCTGTTCCAGCAGGCCTAGGGCTGTTGAAGTATCCAGCCCCACTTTAATTGTGAATGTTGTTGTATTTTAAATTTTGTATTGTCTTATTTATCTCCCTTCCCTTTTTATTGTAAGCCGCCCGGAGTCCTTCGGGAGTGGGCGGCATACAAAACCAATAAACTAACTAACTCCTGCACAGATTATTTCCCTCACCTAAATACCATGCCCCCCCCCATTTCAGTGGCAGCTGAAAAGCAAGCAGCAAAACAGTGGCTGACACTTTGGCATCCAAGGCACATAAACTATACTATTGGTACTATCTTGGCTTTCTTTGCCACAGTTGTTCTACTTCGGCTTGCAGGTCTTTGTACTTTGTATTTTTTTCAATTCTTTTTATTCTAGTCTGCTATCTTAAAGTATTACAATGCCCATTATCTAAACCATTTCTCTTTCTTATCAACAGTTATTAAGTCTTAGGGGTTGTATGACAGATCCTTGCCAGTACTCTGAAATTTAAAGTTTCAGAGTACTTTGGTTTCTTAATTTTCTACTACTTCCTCTATGTTTTTTTATCCCCACAATTCTTGTTTGCACGCAGGTGGTAGATATTCCAACACACCATTGTTGCTATTCTGTTATAACATTGTTCATAGTCAGTTTGTCCAATCTTCTAGAAACAGTTAAGTATGCTGTCCACTGTTTCTTCCACTTCTTTTCAGAGGTGACATTTGCTGTTGGTTGCTATCCTTTCATTATTTCTGTAAGGAAATTCCTCCTTATTTCCAGGTTGAATCTCTTTCTGATGAGCTTCCATCCAATGTTTCTTTTCCTGTCCTCAGGCACTAGGGAGAATAAATTGATCTTTCTTCCCTGTGACAGTCCTTCAAGTATTAGAAGGCAGATAATATATCTCCACAAAACCTTCTCTTCCTTAGGCTAAACATGCCTGATTCCTATAACCATCATACGATTTGGTCTCTGACCCTTTATCATCTTTTTTTGCTATTCTCCGCACTGTATCTCTTTTGCATCATGGTGATTTACCTTAGTTTTGTTATATCTCAGTTAGTCATTAGATCAAATGGTTTATTTTTCAAATAAACACAGGGGGAGGGGGGGAGAGACCCTTCAGTGATAAGGAAGTAATGTTGGAGCTGCCAACTTCAATCTTTTTTGATCAGAATAGAGCTGGAAGGGACCTTGGAAGTCTTCTAATCCAACCTTCCTTTCAAGCACGAGACCTATACCATTTCAAATAGGTGGCTGTAAGTTCTTTTCCTAAAAACTTCCAGTGATAAAGCACCTACAACTTCTGAAGGCAAGCTATTACACTGGTTAATTGTCCTCACAGTTAGGAAATTTGTCCTCGATTCCAGGTTGCTTTTCTCCTTGATTAGTTTCCACCCTTTGTTTTTTTTTTTTTTTGTCTTGCCTTCTGGTGCTTTGGAAAATAAATTGACACCCACCTTCCTTCTTTGTGGCAGCACTTCAAATACTGGAATACTGCTGGCACACCTAGTCCTTTTGTTCTCTAGACTGGCCATACCCAATTCCTGCAATCATTCTTCATATGTTTTGTTTACAATATCAAAAGCAAATTATGGACAATAAATCAGGTGTGATTTTTTTAAAAAAAGGAAGAAGCCCTTCATCCAGAGTATGACACCAGAGTCAGTTTATAAAGCTTGTTCAGAACATGAATCTTCATTGATTTATGCATTAACTTTTTCACTTCTACACCAGTGGCCCCCAACCTTTTGGACACCAGGGACCATTGCATGGAGAGATTACTCAGTGGACCTGAGGGTGTGTGTGTGAGGTTTTGCATACTGCCTGCATCCCATGAATGGGAATTCTCTTGTTTGTGCAGCTGGATTTCTGGCATGCCGCAGCCTAGTGCCACCACACGGACTGGGTTGGGGACCCCTGTTCTTCACTGCTGAGATATATGGACTCAATACAATCCAGATCTTAAAGCATTGCTTTCTGAGCTATGGAATATGTATACGAGCATCACAGTGTGGTAGATGTGAAGATTGGGCCAAATATAAAAGTCTATCTAGCTTTAATCTGGTGCATCTCATAAAGTGGTTGTCTTGCTAAATGGCTCTGTCCAAAATGATTACTCCAGACAATATACATTTTGGTTGGTTCACAGGTCTACTGTAGATTATTTAATAATTTCCACAGATCTGGATTACTGCCTTAAGCATTTTGGCATAGTCCCCAGGAAGGAGTGACCACCTTCCCTTAACTATCATCTGCAAAACTAGGCGAAGCCAAACTAGGAACCAAATAAAAGCCCATTTAAAATGCCTGGTGAAAGGCACTTCTTATACAATCAGATGGAAAAGCTTCCAAACAAAACAAAACAAAACAGGATAGCCCAATGGTTTCAATCAGAAAAAAGAATTATAATGTTTTCAACCCTTTGCAATTAGGGGCATACCTAGACCCAACTGACTCATCAGATAGTAGAATGCATAATGTATCTCATAGGATATAACTTGTCCATGCACAGACTTGGCTTATGAAACAATTCCATCAAATTTTCTCAGGATCTTGTATGGCACCCCAAAATGCACTCCCAAAGCATCATTGAGGCTTGATACCAATGTGCCAAGTTTAAAGACTCAGGCATGGTCTGAAGCGTCTGCCGTGTCAAATAATTATCAATTTCACCGTCACCCCTTCTGCCTCTCTCTTGAATATTTAGGCCAATTAATCCTGGAGAAGGCTGAATCCACACTAAAAGAGATAATCATTGATTGACAAAATGACATCACTAGTGCCCCTGAATCCTATCACCAATTGTTAGACAACCACAAGCCCTTTATTGCAGGGCATTTACACAATTTAACTATAAGCAACATAGATAGACCTTTTCTAAAGACCAGTTTGATGACCTCCCATCAGCTTTACTGAAGGAAATATTTCATGAGACTCCTTATTCACACGGATATTCCCTTTGTGGTTCTAGGAAGTGAGAAATTTTTACCCACCTTCTCATACAATGCCTTTCTATGATGCCCCAAGATTTGGCCCAGTTTTTGAGCCAAGATGATGCAGTGGTTAGAATGCAGT